TATATAAATTGAATTTTGGGAAACTTTAATGGTGCTGCCAACTTTGGAAAAAGTCATCCCAATTTACTGTGTTGACTTGGCATTGTACAGAAATGGACAACCATATTGGTCTAGAAATGTTAATTTATTTTTTTTCCATGTGTACAGGGGTAACACATCATACTAAATATGTAAGGTCATATCTACATGGGTTTGATTACAAAAACTAATAAAGTATTCTCTAAATATTGAAAAAAAGAATAAGATAAGACTATAAGAGCAAGAAGCAATTTAAATATGTTCAGGCACCATTTTCATCTCCAGAATTAAGTATTATTTTGATGTTACATCATTGCCTTTTCTCTTTTACTTTGCTTTTTAGTTTTATTTTAGGATTCCCTATTTTTAATGTTCATACAGAGATTTCTTTAACTGAAATACCGAATAGTTTCTTTGGTGTGAAAAACTATATGTAGTTTCTTATCGATATTATTTTATAATAACCCATAACCCACTAATGATAAATGTGCCTCATATCCTGAGTTCATCATTTATAAAAGATGACAACATTAAATATATGATTTTTCCAGATACTGTAGTTATATTTTTTCAGAATGAAAGTAGAATAAACACTAATTAGCACAAAATTCTAAAAAAAATTAATATTTCCCCCACATTTTAACTAAAAAGTAAATAAAACATTTCATAATTAATTAGACTACCTGTAAGTTAATATACCTCATTAAGCAGTGGGAAAATTATGGGTGATTTTATATGATGATAGTAAATAAAAATGACGTCCTTATCAATTATGTTCTGCTGTTCTTGTCATTTTATCTTCAAAGACTACTGAGGGAGGTCTTATTTCTCACTTAAGTAATTGATGCTCCCAAATCAATTTCTCCATAGAAAGAACTAAAAGTAATTCATCAGCAAATTAAGGGAGAAAAAGTTTAAATTGGGAGATTAATCAGCAAGTTAAAATTGCATCTCAAAATGTTGGAATTAAGCAGGTGTATGTTAGTTACCTTGGATATATTAGTAATTATATTTAATCGTTAACCCAAATAATGATACCTGGATTGTATCACCATGTAATTAATTATAAAATATATCAATAAAATTATCTCCCATAGCCCCAGTCTCATAGTTATTTTTAATTGGGCTTTTAAAGACCACACCATAACTCAATACTGAAGTCACCAGCTATATTATACAAAGAAATGAAAGAACAATAGAAAAAATAAAATGAAATAACAAAATGCACAGATGAAGGAAAAGCTGCTAATTAAATAGAACTGTATGTCAAATTGTTTTCACAAAAACATATAAAAGACAAAAACTTTATTTTTCATGAATAGTATAAATGAATATAAAGCTATGAATTCTCATTTTGCTCTGAGACTCATTCCTACTGGGTGCCAGGTTTTAGCGTCATATGACGAGGTGCAGCTATCCCACAACCACAGGCAACAAGGTTTAAAGGCCATCGCGACTCTCTTAAAACAGAGTACTAGAATCTCTGGAGACTTGAACAAGGAAGGACTCTGGTGTCCAAACTGCAGCCTCTGGGGTGGACACACCTGGCTTTGCTGGGGTCACACTGAGTACAGAAGAATTGTATTGGGCTGCATATAATTATGTGAATAGATATAGAAATATATAGATAGATAGATAGATAGATAGATAGATAGATAGATAGATAGATAGAAATATAGAGAGAGGTAGAAATATAAATATATATATCACAAAAATTCCTATTTAAGATTCTTTTTTATTGTATCACAAGCATGCCCAACCTGGGGGACATGGATTCATCTGCATGGAATCCTCACAACTCAATCAAAACATCAAATAACAACAAGATGGTAACTGAGGGCTTCAACAGAGATTAACAGCTCTGCCAAGTTTCATAGCATTGCTGCCAGGTTTCCCCAATTGGTCTAATCACTGGGTTCCATGAGGGAAAATACAGATTTCCAGGCCCTACTGCAGAGAATTCTAAATTGGAAGGTCTGTCTTGATCTTGGAATCTATATTTACTGAGCAACTCAGGTGATTCTTTGGACATGGCCAGCGTTGTAATTGCAGATATGGAAAAAATGTCCCACTCTGCTCTTATAGAGTAGTTCAGCAAGTGTTCCATAACAACAGTCTGACCACACATCTGCAATCTCAGCCAAACCTCTGCTTTCACAGATCCACAGAATTTCTGTGAAAGCCACATTGAACTATTGTGGCTTGAATAAAAATGAAACTAAGTTTATACTAAGTTTTCTTGTTCACATAGGCTCAATTTTCTCCTCTACATGTGGGTAGCTATTGTGAAATAAGTCATAAATGACTGTATTTATCAGTAATAGTTAAAAATGTAATGTTTGCACATTAATTTATTATGATTAATAAGGACAAACTCAAAGTATCAATGTATCACATATATTCATAAATACTTTCCACTAGGGTTTCTAAGGTGTGTGTTATAGATGTATTTGTGCAATTAACATCTGCTGTATTATTCTTTATAGAATAAAGTTTGATTGTTGCTCACCCTGGAAATACAAACAATTCCATCCAATTTCTGTCAACTCATAATGATGCTTAAGCATATTTTATTTCATTTTGTTTTGTACTGGGAATCAAACTCAGGACATTCCACTTGCAAGGCAGGCACTGTGCCACTGAGCTAAGTGCCCAGCCCAACATATATTCTTTTAAAAGTAAAAAATGGGCCCTTTCTTTACACATTCCAAACTCAATAAGTTATAATATAGTGACTATGGTCTATGTGGTATTTTATCTTTCAGTAACCATAACTATATGTATTTAATTTAAAGCAACATTATTAGAAAATATATTTGATATTTAGGAATATTTATTCAAAATAAAAATTCATATACTACTTCCAAATATCATCTCTTTATTAAATCTACTCACACTAATGGTGATAAGCTAATTCTAATCACTGTTTGAGTTTACATTGAAAATAAATTTCTGAACAAAGTCTAATATTCTGCTTGTATTTTATTTCACACTAGTCTTCCTCTGATTCAGTTTTATTCTTTCTGGAACAAAATAGCCAAAAACAAGAATCATAGTCATGGAATTTTAAAACTTCAATATAATATATATTAAAATTTTAGCTTTTATAATAGTGTATTGATTTTCCTAACTCTTCAGAAGAGATTTACATGTTTTTAAAGATCAACATTAATAGAATATTTTGAATGTCTAAACAAAATGCTACAAAAAGTAGCTTACTGTGTTGGTTATTCATTATGTTACATTCTGGTTAGATGGATTACCTAAACACGTTAGATGTGTATTTTTTGTTTATTTGTGATCAAAAAATTTTCTTAACTCCAAAGAAAACTATAAATTACTATTGTTCTGTATATGCATTTTTTCAGCACCTAAGCGTAAGCATAGTTTCAAGAATTTTTAGTTTTAATTTAGTCATAAAATTTTAATAATGAACACTTATATATATATTTTTTTTTTTGTAGCAAGGATCAAACTCAGGACCTTGTGCTAGTGAGGCAGGTGGTAGAACCACTGAGCTAAATAAAAAAAGTTGTTAAGATCAAAAATTGAATTTAAAAATCAGTTGTTGATATTAATTCTGAATCTGAAAAACTATCACTTTGTTTTCCGATCATGTTCACCAATGAGTTGAGTAAACATTTATATATTTTTTTTTTTGTAGCAAGGATCAAACTCAGGACCTTGTGCTAGTGAGGCAGGTGGTAGAACCACTGAGCTAAATAAAAAAAGTTGTTAAGATCAAAAATTGAATTTAAAAATCAGTTGTTGATATTAATTCTGAATCTGAAAAACTATCACTTTGTTTTCCGATCATGTTCACCAATGAGTTGAGTAAACATTTATAGAATTAACATAATGATATTAGCAGGAATTTAGACATTTAAAATAATTGTCAAATAAAAAAGTATTTGATATTATTCAAAAGAAGAACACACATATAAAATATTTTTATTAATCCAAAGTAAATTAAATGAGTAATAATTGTCTATTACATAATTAGGAAAGATAAACTATACTTTTC